CAGTTTGACGATAGACAGCAACGGTGGTAGTGGTACTGGTGGCGGAATGGCGATGACAACCATCCTAACGATGTTGATTACGGGGTGCAGGCCCTTTCGGCAGCATTGTAAAACGAGAGGAGAGTGTGACCCTTGAACTCTGAGCCACTTGTGACATGCTCACAATCTTGGCTTAGAGTGCCAACAAGGTTTTTGAAGAAGGTAGGACTAACCGAGCTAGAGGTTATGCTCATGGCCATTCTGTTTGATCGGCGTGATCCTACAAATCAACGAAGACAACGTGACTACGAAAACAACAATGAGCATGAACATGAACTTAAAGAGTTTTCGAATAATCATGGAGGCAATCAGTTCCGAGGTGAAGGTGTATAATCGAAGTGATCCAACGCGCCAACGATAAAGGCAAGTCTACCAAGAAGGCTTGGGAGATGAAGAGGGTAGGATTAGAGGCTATCACGCAAGAAGAAATGACTTAGGAGAAGATTACCGCATGAAAGTGGATCTTTCGAACTTTTATGGCAACCTAAACGTCGAAGCTTCTTGAACTCGACTTGCGAAGTGGAAAATCTCTTCGAGATGGTGGACATGACAAAAGTAAAGCAAGTTAAGCTTGTCGCTTGCAAGCTTGAAGGAGTTGCTGTTGATGGTGGGATACGCTTCTAAATAATCCACGACGGCAAGGAAAATTATCTTTAGTTCTTATGTGGCAGACTTTCCGGTACATCAATAATCTGTTACCCTTTAGTTGATCAAGCTAAATTAATTGGCTAAAAATTCACCATAAACAAAGAATATACTATTCAAATTTCGCCATGAATAAAGTGATGTTAACACTTTCTCGTTTTTCAATAGAGGCCGGTTAGTCTCATGGTTGTATATATAACATATGGAGAATTGTGGATCTCACAGTTCACACGCATCATGTGGATACAACGCCAATAGGGTGTCGAATCAAATTCGTCAGCTTTCTGTGAACCAAAAAACTAGAACAGTGGCTAAAATTGGAAGTAATGTATGAAGATTGTAAAAGATTACCAGATTCTGCTTCTGGTGTTGTGCGAAAAAAATTAGGTTATATCCTTGAATCAATGAGAAATTCCAAATCCAATCACAAGCAACAAAATCCTAGAAAAATCTTCCAGATTAGCACATTAACCTCATAACCATGGCTTCGTAGAGAGGATCACTGTCCCTGTCCTCGAGCTCTGAGTGCTCGGAGCTTCCATTTTTCTCCTCTTCTTCTTCTCTCTCTTCCTCTTCTTGCCCTGCCCCTCCCCCGCTGCTCATGGACCTTTGGCCACCGACCCCGGCGGTCTCGAATCACCTTGATTGGAGGTCACATACGGACTCCAGACAAAGAGAGAGAGATTAAAGGCGAGCTACAACACATGATAGAGAGGGAGGGAGATGCGGGGTGGGTATGTAATGACTCGATCCGACGAGGGCGGGAGTATTCATGGAGACCAGAGCGCCTGAATAAGCAGCGGATCTCTGCAGACTTCTAGGATGGTAAAGGGGCGTAGATGAATTGAATTATGCACCAAATAGGGAAAGAGCTTTCATGGGATATATGCGAAATTGGAATTAACTCGCAATATGCACCTTTTGACATAACAGTAAGCGTGCTCAGGTAAGAGCATTAGCAAAATGGGTGATCTCCTAGGAAAGTGCCTACTTATGCCTCAAAGGACAAAATCTTGAGTCTCAATATGAGATGGACCAAAGTGCATAATACCTCAAGCAAGTTAATTCATGGATGTCACAATATGGTATCAGAGTAAGAGCCCCTCCAGCAGGTGTGTGGCTCGAGAACGAACCGCGTGAAAGTTAGTGGACTTATAACAACCCAGTCCGACAAGGGCATGGAGTATTCGGCAGGGTGAGAGGGCTTGGACAAGGAGCACCGAATAGGGGGAGAGCGTTTATGGAATATATATGTGAACCTTGAATTAACTCACAAGAGACGTGTTTTGATGTAATGGCAATATTTAGCATTAAACTCCAATTTTAAGCGTGCTTACGTAAGAGCACTACCAAGATATTGACCTCCGAGGAAAGTGCTTACCTAAACGTCAAAGGATAAAATTATGAGACTCGATATAGGATGTGTCAAAGCAGACAATATTTCGAGTAAGTCAACAAAGAGATATCGCAGGGTAAGTGGTGGCGGGGGGGCTTCGCCTACAATGTCAATTGCATGGTGAGGCTAGTGGTAGTGTGGACGGAGGGCGCAGGTCGGCACTGCGGGTGAGCAAATCACCATGAAGAAGAATAAAGAGCAACAATTATAAAGAAAAAAAAACAAAACACAAGACAAAAAGAAAATATCTAGAAATTTAAACAATTAAACAAAACCATGTTATTTAATTAAGGGTTAATACCATGAAAAACCTCAAATTGGTACACCTGTGATAATTTTATCCCAAACTAATTTTTTGACCACTAAAAACTCCAAACTGGTATACCTGTGACAAATTTACATTTCGTTAGTTTCCGTTAAATTTTACTGTCAAATTGCAGAGTTTGATGATACGTGACAGTTGATAAGTATATCAATTTGGGGTTTTAATCTTTTGTTTGTCACAGGTTTACCAATTTGTGATTTTTCGTGGTAATAATCCAATTTAACGGAATGTAAATTTGTCACAAGTGTATCGGTTTGGGGTTTTTTTGCAATAAAAAAATTAGTTTTGAGTAAATTTGTCACAGGTATACCGGTTTGGAGTTTTTGGTGATAAAAAAATTAATTCGGGGTAAATTTGTCACAAGTGAACCGATTTGGGGTTTTTCGTGGTATCAACCCTTTAATTAAAATTGTCTATGCCGGATGCTGTCCGTGCCATGTTTCATGGCCAGTGATAGCTAGACCACCATTTTAGCATTTGAGACAAAATTGAACTAAATGACTAAATTAAGATTTACGAAGAAGTTTAGGACTACATTAGCAAAATTAAAAAATTTAGGACTGAATTGACATCAACACAATAAGTTTAAAATTAATTTAGTAATTTTTCCCAAAATATTTAATAGTACATATGTAATTACGAATGTAATAAGTAAAGTGTAAAATTAGAAAAAACAAAAATTTAAAAAATCTTCCACATGCCATATCAGCGCTTCACTATTTTAATGCACTTATTTAATGTATATTTCAAAAGTTTTCCCAAAGGTTCGAACTATGTAATTAATAAAGAAAGAGTACTAAATCATTTCTCAAGAGGCCACATCATCATTTCCTTATTCAACCCCCGCTCACTTTTATACATACAATGTAAGTGGTGTTTATATTTATAACTCACCAATCGAAATCGAAAGATTAGATGGAGGAAATTTTTACTAATAAAAATTCTAGGTAAAAAAGTGACCATAATGTGTATAGGGTCACTTTTTCCTCTAGCTCTAGTGGGAGGAAAGTTTCCCCATCTAGTATTTAATTAGTAGTTATAAATATAAAGGTTAATACCACGAAAAATCTCAAATTGGTACGCTTGTGATAAATTTATCCTAAACTAATTTTTTGACCATAAAAAATCTTAAACTAATATATCTGTGACAAATTTATCTTCCTTTAGTTTTCGTAAAATTTTACCGTCAAATTATTAAGTTGGATGATACTTGGCAGTTGTTCGTTTGTCACAGGTGTACCGATTTGTGAATTAAATTAACAAAAACTAATAGATGATAAATCTGTCAGAAATATACTAGTTCGGGGCCTTTGGTGGTAAAAAATTAGTATGGGGTAAATTTATCACATGTGTACTAATTTAAAATTTTTTGTGGTAAAAAATTTAGTCTGAGATAAATTTGTCACAAGTATACCATTTTAGGGTTTTTTGTGAGTTTAACCCTAAATATAAACATTAGTGACATTTACATTTTGTGAAGTTTCCTAATGGATTATGTCCATAATCTGTATTCCTCCTATTGGAGATGCAAAAAAAAGTACAGCCATGAGCTGGATGATACTTGGCAGTTGTTCGTTTGTCACAGGTGTACCGATTTGTGAATTAAATTAACAAAAACTAATAAAGGATAAATCTGTCAGAAATATACTAGTTCGGGGCCTTTGGTGGTAAAAAATTAGTATGGGGTAAATTTATCACATGTGTACCAATTTAAAATTTTTTGTGGTAAAAAATTTAGTCTAAGATAAATTTGTCACAAGTATACCATTTTAGGGTTTTTTTGTGAGTTTAACCCTAAATATAAACATTAGTGACATTTACATTTTGTGAAGTTTCCTAATGGATGATGTCCATAATCTGTATTCCTCCTATTGGAGATGCAAAAAAAAGTACAGCCATGAGCTAAATGGCTACACCTCTACTTGGAGAAGATCCATCCCACTAATAAATGCGTTACAAACTATAAACACCACTCGTTTTTAATTCGTTGTAGATCATTTAAATATTTAAACGTTCGTCTTACAAACCTAAATTAAAAGCTGGTGACGTTAAAATTCGTAACGCACTAATCAGAGCAACGGTTCAAGGAAGGAACCCACGTTGAAGCACTAATTGAGTTAGAAGAGGGTTAACGGGAATAAATGATTGAATGACGGTTTTTAATCTTTTGTGATAATAACAGCCTGTTTTGTACCTCAAGAAAATAATTACCAAATAATTATAAATTATTTTGAGGTTCACTTTTTCGAGAAATTATGGCTCATAATATATTATTATTCTTTGATAATTTAAAGATTGTTATGCTAACAAAGTTCATTAATGGGTGGAGGTAGGAGAATCCTCGTATTGTACAAGAACGTCAAGAGGAGCGGTAGCTGGGAAATCTACGTCGTAGTCGGCAAGAGCACGATAAAAGACCAGTGCGGAGATAATGACTTTGTTGGCTTTTGGGGTTGGAGTGCGAGTGAAAAGGACTTGAGCCACTCTGTCGTGGTCAAATATCTAACCCCTCCTGGTCAAATCCTCCTCTTCCTCCCAGCAATTAAGTACTCCTGAATCCCTCAGGCCTTCTGCAATTTCCCACGTTCTTCTCTCTCTCTCTCCCTCTGTCTCGCTCTCTCGCTGCGTCTATAAATACATTTCACTTCACGAAGCGGTTCAAGGGAAAACCCCCTAACCCATTCTTTATCACTTTCTCAAATGCTTCTTTCAGCTCTTTTTTCTTCCGGCTACTCAGCTCAGCACAGAAGAATCTGTCAAGCTCAGGAGGGATAGCGCCGATAGATTCGACCGCCGTCGGTCTGGAGCTTTCCGGCGCTATCCATCCTGAGTTTCATGGCTTCTTCTTGCTTTCTCGCCTGGCTTTTGACGGGAGGACATCGACCCCGACAGTCAGTGTGGTAAGGATAAGGGATCTCATTTCTGTTTTCGGGATACAAGATCGGTTTATAGGGTTTCATAAACTATGAATTGATGTATGCTTCAAATTTTTGTTTTCAGTCGTTGTTGGCTAGTAAAGTTTGGTTAATTTTTTGTTTAGATCACTCACAAAACATCGAGCGACGCTCCCCGCACGGATCTTAGTCGTTTGTTTTGGTCTTTCTTGGCATTTTTCTTCATTTTTTTCCACCTTCATCTTCCAGTATCTACATAAATCTGGGTTGAACGCTCGCAGAGGACCTGTTTTAGTATAGTGGCTTGTGTAAGTGGTAGATCAAAAAAGGAACTTAATCAGTCAACTTTTTTTTTACCGGAAAGATGAGTGATCGGTTATCTGTTCCTATATTTGTCACGAAAGGTCAAGCGGAATTTCATGAGCTTGTATGATCATCAGAATCTGATGGAGCGAGAGTTGAGGACCTTTGGCTTCTACTTCCAAGGACAAAGTTCCGGTTCCTCTTTCTTATTTAAATGAGTAGTTCCACCAGCACCATAGAAAACATACCATGTTTCAGACTTCTTGGTCAAGTGCTAATACAAGCAGAAATTAATTGGTTGGTTCAGCAAAGATTTGGATTTTACAAGCATCTGCTCTTCCATATACACTGGATAATTAACTAAACGAGAAAAATTTTCATTTAACAAGATGTTATTGTTTATTGTGGTGGGTGCAATCCCTTTCTTCTTGGATGGACTAAAGATGTTATGAACTGTGTCATTAGGGTACTCTTTCATCTTTACTTTGACTTCTATGTGATAAAAAACTTCTGGGTCGTGCATATTATCTTATTTTTATAAAGTGGAATTCACTGTCAAGGAATTTTTAAGATCTTCTGCAGGGTAAGGAATTTCCAAGATCTTTTGCAGGGTATCATTGAGTGACCATCCATACCGGTAGATCAAACATGTAATGGAGATATGAGATATCATAAGATCGATTCAATGATTGATATGAGCCACTTAATGCTTAGTTTAAGGTTCTTAGAAGCTTCCTCCCAGTTATTGGAACGAATTATGCTACAATTAAGAAAATATTACAATATTCTTTGCACTAGATTTTTTCTTTTTTCTTTTTTATAAAATGTGTAATGGGTGATTTGAAATGGATGTGACTATATTTCCACAAATTTTTTTATTTAAAACACCACTTTAAGTGAATTAAAACATAAATTTTGGTACAAGATCTCTCTCTCTTCAAAATTCAACATCTCTCTCCTTCGAACTCTAAAGTGTCCTTTTGAATCACAATGGTATCGCTAAAAGGTTAGTAGTTTACGTTCATGGACTCGAGTCATGAATCACTTTTCGTGGAAGTTATGTTGTTGAGCATAATCGCGTTTCAACGTTGCAAAACTATGCTTGTTATCAATGTAATTTTGTTGGTTTTAGTTGTTAGAAAATCGCTGCTTTATGCTTTTGTCTAAGCTTTGCATGATTTTTATGGAAGTCCAATCGCTATCCGAATCTTCAAAATGAAATTCATAATTCTTCATAAGGAAAATTCCTGAGAATATAGCTCAAATGCTCTCTATGTAAGCAATCACTATAAGATAACGGATTCCAACAATATTGATGATCATTTTGTTTGATAGAACAATAAAAAGTTCAGTTTTGATCTCTCCCGTTTCTTTTTATTTTTCTTTTTATCTTCTCTTAGTGTTTATATTCTAAGAATGGAAGAGTCAAACAACTTAAATCCTGAACTGAGTTGCTAGCTAAACATAAACTCAATGTTTCTTTGTGCTAGATGCAAGAAAGGATACAAAGGGAAAAATCTTTAAGTATATGAGATAAAAAAAAAGTGACAACTCATAAACCATGAGTTTTCCTTAAAAAAAGATGTCATCAAATGTCAATGCATAGATGAAAAAACCTAGGGTTTGGAGGGTAACTTGAGTAACTTAATGGTTTTCTTAAGCTTGAAGGAAAAAATGAGTGGAATTAGCAAGGCCCTTTGGCAAATTGCGAATTTCTTTCGGCTCCACAAATAGCTTTAAACACACCTTAAATTTAAATAGTTCGAAATAGCCCTTGCTTAGAGTTCATTAATAATAAGATTGATGAAATGGAAAAATATACCTATAATGTAGATCAATCAATCTAGCCTATAATGTTTTTTCTTTTTCTTTCAATCGGTAGTGCAAAAAATAGGCCAATTTGGCGGCCTTTTTGCTCAATTTCACGCGGAGTCAAATTCTCATCAGTTCGCATCAAGACTATAGCTCCTATCCTTCGATTTCCATAGAAAGTTCGCGTCAAGACTATAGCTCTTATCCTTCGATTTCCATAGAAAGGACACGATGAGCATAAATACCCTCTTTAACTTCTATTTGGATGGACCGAATATCTTTCATACTTTCATACAAAATTGTAGGAAGATGCGACGATTTTCCTAATTCGTTGGCTAATATATTTCCGAAAGTCGAAAACCAAGTGATAAAAGGTTTTGTGAAATCTTCTAAGATGTTAATGGGTATTCAAATCGGAGAAGTCTAGATGTTTGTTACTTTTTTCCGAGAATCATCTAAGATTAGAGTGTTTTAATAAATATAAATGATTAGATTCCAATTTAAAAGAATAATTATAAAGTGCATTTATTTACGTCTTTCTAAAGTTCAATCTCTAACAATTTATGGCAATATTCCATTCTTTAGTTCAAGTTTTTAAAGGAGAATTCTTTGGTTAAAATTGCTAACTCTTTATGATTATAATTTGTGTTAACAAAGAAGGTCAACAAGGTTCATACTAATCGCAAAAAAAACCTATATATAGATTAGTCTAAACATATTAATAAGTAGAAGATTGGAAATGAAGTTTGTATAAAAACAAACAGAAAAGTAACATAAAAGGTATCATTGTTTTGGTTAATACAGACACTCATATTATCAGGACGATGTGTGGCTTTTGCATTTTCAATAGATAGGTACTCTCATTCTTTCCATTTGTAATTTCGATTAATCGGTTCTCTTGAGATTAATTTCGACAACTCAATAAGTTAGAAAGTGTTATAGTAATTTAAAAGATAGAAATAGCGCGAGCCATTCTTTTCAATTTGATTTTCGTTTCGGAGATGCTCCAAATTCTTTTAGCATTGCTCTGTCGAAATTTGTCCATCTTCCCACTTTAGTTCCTAAAAGTAAGGTTTGACATTTGACATCCGTAAGCACTTAGCATTCCTCTGATGTCAAGCAGCCCTCCTAAATCCAACTGCCTATTGAGATCCTATGCCGGCTTTAGGACAACTGGACAATGGCCAATTTGTATATTATATTTCGTCGTAATTAAATACAAAAACGTTGTAGTAAATTTTTCATTTGGTTTACTAATCCAAGTCCAATGCAAAATTGCATAAAACAGAAGTTGCATGGTATAGTGTCGTGCTGTACAGAATTCACTGGAGCTGTATTTTCCTCCGTTTATGATTCGAGGAATTCTTTCGGTTAAACTTTAAATTAATGAATTGCAAATGTCAATATCACCTGCATATGACTTAACTCAAAATAAGCGTTGGTGCTGGAAGTAACCTACCGAAGTCTAGTTGGAGCGGGTTTACATCTAATCCAATTTTTGTGTGTCCATCAAACCATCTCACGGTTCTTTACCAGGGCTTTCTGCAGCAGCAGTGTAAAAAGCGCAGTGGGCAAAAGATTCTGCGCACTACTGACATCTGACTTCGAAAGAACATCCCAACCACACAATCCTCCTTCAGAGGGACGGCAGAGTCAGACCAATCCGTGACCACTATTTCGAGCCCATCTTCTCGATCTGAATCCAGACGAGCCTCTACCATTGATGCTAGCGATGGGGAAGACAACGATGAACAAAAATGACACGAAGATAGATATAGATGGGGAAGGACGGAAGGGAGAAGAAGAAGTACCAGCATGCAATATTTTATCGATCGATATCAGGTTTATCCCCATCCAGTGAATGATGGGGACCGGGGAGGGGGGAGCAGGGCATGTTGTTGACCGGCTTTTGCACGTGAGTGCGTGACAACTACGTGCAGGTCACGTTCTGGGTCCTTCGATCATGATTCATGTGTTTCGAAGGTGGTCCATCCCCCTAAATTCATGCAACATGCTGCGCAACTCTGTCGCCTCACCACGACCGTACGGTTGCTTTTCTTGATATTTTGTTTGCCCAAATCCCCCCGATAATTCTATCTCCACGCTTCCCTTTTCCCTTCCTCCAGTTAATCCGTTCAAATTGAATCGTGAGGCCGACGAATTTTTCGCGCCAACGGTACGTAATTAAGCATGTTCATGTCAAGTCTAATTAGGGTTTCAAAATAAATCAAAAGACAGATTTGCCATCAATAAATTTTTTTCGGATTAATACCACGAAAAACCTCATATTACTATACCTGTGATAAATTTATTTCAAAATTAATTTTTTAACAAAAAAATTCCAAACTGATTTACCTGTAATAAATTTACCCTTCGTTAGTTTCGAATAAATTTTACTGTCAAATTGCTGAGTTGTATGATACATGGAACAGTTTGGAGTTTTACCATCCGTTTGTCACGGTGTACTAGTTTGGGGTTTTTCATGGTATTAATCCAATTTAACGGAAATTAATGAAAGGTAAATTTGTCACAGGTGTACTAATTTGAGGTTTTTTGTGATAAAAAAATTAGTTTAGGGTAGATTTATCTTGAGTCAAAAAATTAGTTTAGGGTAAATTTATCACAAATGTATCAATTTAAAGTTTTTCGTGGTGTTAACCTTCTTTTTTCAGAAAAGAAACTAGGCTAATAACAAAGAAACTGTAGACTTGGGATTCAGTTACACGTGGAGAGGGGTTAACGTCCACAATGCTCTTTTTGCACAAAATTTTTCAATTAAGTAATTAGACGTAATTCTTGAGATGATTTCCTAAAATTATAATGCAATTTTGATTTTTCGGAGACGTAATTGTTGGAATCTAAATTTTTGACCTAAGGTTTTGCCATAGTCAACTGGGAGTGTTGCTCCTCTAAAAATTCCATTGAATGGTACAATTGGATTGTGCTCATCGAAAGCTTTCCAACTACACCCAATTTGTCCACATTGGAGCCCGATCTCAAAATATCGCAATGTTTAACTCGAACATCCGATCGTGAAGTGTCAGGAGTTTCATGATTTGATCAGATCGTCTAAGCCCTCCACAAAGACAGGTCATAAGCTTTCCGACCGTGCAAGAATCGCAACGATTAGATGTTTAATGAAGACTACATCATAATTTTTTACAAAAATTGTCTCTTTGGCCTAATTCTTGAAAATCCATGATCCTAAAACTTTCCCGAAGATTGAGTCACATAATTGAAAAATACGGGTCACGAGCTTTTCATGGGCGCAAGATTTGGGTCAAGCCGACACCGAATGAGAGAAAAACGGGTGGTGAAAGTTAGCTCAAAATTGAAAGAAAATGCATTTTTGAATAATAAAAGAAAGGGATTTGCGGCGGTCAAGTCTAGCCAAGCCGCAATTGCCACATGTCACAGGGGTTGCTAGGCCGTGTGGCATGGTCTGAGTCGGGCCGGACCTAAACAGGGTCATTTTAGCATTTCAAAAAGCCATTTTGGCCCTTTGCAAGGCTCGAATCGCCTTTCAAAGGGTTTGTGACATCTATGATTTTGGCTATACGGAATGGCTATGGAACTGGCGTGCTGATCGTGGGAGAAATCGGCCATGGACCAATCCAAGGATAGGTCATGGATCGATCAACCCGATCGGAAGGGTAACCAAGGGATTAGCCATGGTCTGATCGAAAGATCGGCCCTAGAATGATCAAGAGATCGGCAGTGAGTCAATCAAATGACCATACAAGTGACCCGAGCTATTCGGCCATGGTCGGCTTATCGACAATAGAGGTTGGTCATGGGACGGTCTTGTACCACCACGAATCGATGGACGATCATGGATTGATTCCGCGCGGTCTTATTCCAATCGTGGGTGATTCCGCATGATCACATACCAACTGCGGACAACCATGGATCGATCCGTGTGACCATGTGTTGGTCATAGAACGATCGGTCCTACATAACTACATGATAACCGAGGGTCGTCCATGGACCAAGTATGCTTGGCCATGGACTGACCATGGGACACTTGGACGGGTCACGGACCGATTGTGGATCGGTTGCACATTGGTTCGACAACTTTGCCGAATGGGTTATGTGCCTAAGCCGTGTGTCGGGCCACAAGCCGGCCGTGTGCCTAACTTGGACCCTCCCGAAAGGCCAAAGGCCAGCCCAAGTGCCAGCTATGTGCCCGTCCGGCCTGTGGACGCTGTGGATGGGCCGCGCACCAGGTCACGCACGGGCCACGCGCCAGTTCGCATGGGCTATGCGCCCGGTCTACATACCCAGCAGCCTGGCCCTACGCCCGTCCAGGCCAAGAACCAGGCGGACATGCCCTATGCCAGGCCATGCACGGGTCCTATATTTAGTCTACCAGGCCACGCGCCCGGTCAGTGCCGGCCATTCTACCCACGCCATGGGCCACTGACCTAGTCATTCAAAACAACTTTGGCTACGACTCGCCACTTTCGATGGTGACTCGGCTACGAACCTCGGTTTAGTAGGCAGAGTCGATCGGGAGTGGACATGAGGAACTCATTCCCGATAAAGTTAGCACTTCCTTTGGCATAATTCTCATGTTTGCTTTAATTCTTGGAAAAAGACAAAATAGAATACTTTAGAAGAAGAAAGCTTGTTTTGGTGAGCAAGTATTGGATATGATCAAATCCAAAGTTAATTATTACACCAAATCTAAACATTTAATGAAAGATGGTAAGTCATCTAGCTTAGGTGTCTTATACATCATTACACTTCATTAATACTAGGATGATTCACACCCAAAGTGGCCCAATGTGAAGAAGGCAAGTGTGCATCTAATATTTAGGCTTGCCACACCACTATTTAGGCTTGCCACCTCTTCTTGTTAGGCTAGCAAACTCACCAAGATAGGCTTTCCATTTCAAGGATTTCTATTTGTCCAAATGAAAAGGGTAATGATAAAAGATTTGCCTATAAATAGAGTCACCAACCCTTCATTTCTAACTTTCACCACTCATTTCCCTCTTCCTCTCTCTCCCTCATGCCATTCACTCTCTAGGCTGCCCTCTCTCCTCTTGGCCGCGCCCTTGCTCGCGGCCGTGCACGTGCCGTGCCGTATTACTCGGTTTGCTACTAAGCCACCATTAACCACAATCTTGGAAGGTAGTAAGTAGACTTATTAAACCTTGGCTAGGGTGATGTGTTACATTGTTGGGCGAGTAATGTTCTTTTTGTGCTTGAATGAATCTCGTGGTTTGTGAGCACTTGATATAGCTTGCCGTGCTTGCATTTATGATTGTAAGGTTTGCTCATGTGTTTGGCATCATGTTTGAGAGCACACCCGGGCCATGAATAAGTCTCACTTGGTTTGGATCGGACTCGACGCGTGTCGGAACGAGCCTTGCTTGGTGGGTCGGTATTGAGGCGTACCGATCCAAGCCTTGCTTGGTATAGGTCAGCGCCATGACTGGTCGGTTCGGGTCCCAAACTTGGTTTCGTGCCCGGCATGACTTAAGACTTTAGAGACAACATGGCATGATACGCACTTCGCGTGAAGTATTCAAGTTGGTATGATGCTTGTTGGCATGATCGTACGAGGGAAAAATATAGCTGTCGCCTTTGATTGGGGACGTTGCCCAATTAAGTTGAGATGAATAGCCGTCGCCCTTGATTAGGAGACGTTGCCCTATTAAGTTCGGATGAATAGCCGTCGTCCTTAGATTAGGGGACGTTGCGTAGAGAATTTTCAGAAGAACCGTATCAACGGTTGAGATGATGAATCTCTCGTGTGCATGCTCTTGGTTGAAGTGTTATTGCTTGAATCAAAACGCAAATTGAGATCGTTTTATGCACAAGAACAAGTGTGTTAGAAACATTTTTGTTATTGATTTGCCATCAATTGGTGTGGCCATGTGCATGTGCTTTGTTCGACGGCGAGGCATCCTCCTATCCAGAGTTTAGTGAGTTTTACTTACTGAGTGTTGACTCACTCCTTAATTTTTACAAACTTGTAGGTATGGCGACGCTGCCTCCGGTTTGACATGGACTTCCCGTAGAAATGCATGTGTCTATCATAGATATAGTAGATGTAGAAGAGTATACCACCTACCGTAAATTTACCACTACCGTTTGGGTGCAAGAGGATGCTGAGAACATGGTTCCCCAAGGTTATGAAGCCTGGTTTATATGGTTCGATAGGGACTTGGCGGGTCCTCTCCGAGGGTTCAACGGACCGCCGAAATTCTCGTCCGATGGGACCGTGGCGAATCCTTAGAGTACTAGCTTGACCAATAGGGGAACCGTTTTTTATAGTATAGCTCGCTCGAGGAGCTAAGGTTACCCCAACTTTTGATGTATGAAAAAGCAGCCCATAGAAAAAGGGCATGTAAAATACGAAGTAGTAACCTATGAAAATAGCAGTGCATTTGTGAATTGATTGTTCTTCCTGGCTACTCATTGTTGTTATTGGGGTATTAATCGAATGTACGCTTCCGCATACTATTAAAGAAAGATAAAAAGATTCGGGTCATGACAGGGTTCCCCTTAATTATGGGTTTACTTTCTTCATTTTTATGGTATCTCTTGACACCTAATTTTTGGTGACCCATTTAGGCATTCATTGCAAAGAAATTAGAGATCAACATCGATCCATAAAACAAAAATATTATTAATTTGCATATTATGAGCATTTTTATTTAATAGCATTAGGCCCACATAAATTACAAATGGACAAACTCAAGCATGGAAGCTCTAAGCTTAATTTAATTATCCAGACTAAGCTTGTAGGGACACAATTTGGACCAAGCCCATTGAAGATCTATATAGCCGAAAATTGCAAGTGCTTGGCACATGTGAGGGGTAATTGCGAAAGATTGCATTCCTTGATTATATTTTGACGCAACAAGGTCATTACTTTAGTAATTTTGATCATAGGCAAATAAGAGAGAGATATACCCTAATTTCTAATTTAGAATAAATCACATAATCTAAACTAGGAAACAAGGATATTGTTTGTTCTTGAAAGAATAACCCTAATCCCTTGCCTATAAAAACCATTTTACTCTTGAGAATAAAGGAGGTTGGTCGATAGAGAAAAGAAAAAGCACATTCACATGAGAACGTTGGAGTCAAGGGATCT